CAATGACGTTGAAGCTTTTGGTACAAGCAACATATAGGTGATATTGTCGTAAGCAGTCGCTGCCAGGGTACAGCATCGTTGTGTGAAACACGTATGGGATGGGGGGTCATACTTTTCGGCTAGGGAAGCGGGGGTTGTATTTGCTGGGAGAGGGGGGAGGCCGAACGTGGCTTCGAGAGAAATTTGGAACATTCCCGCTTTACCCCCCTCCCTTCCCCCGACCGACGGAAAATTTTCAGGTGATGGGTGGAAAATGTGGATACATTGGTAGGTAGTTGGGGAAAGGGGGGGGGTCGTACCAAGACCCTCATTTAGGTGGGGGGGTCGTACTGACACCCTCTCTCGGAGGGGGGTCGTACCTACACCACCATTTCACACATCACCATGCTGTACCCTGGTTGCAGCGGTGTCAGGATGGGCGGAATACGCCCGTTGCGACTCCCTATCCTACCAAAATTGGGGGAGGTCGTCTCTTAAAGAAATTTTGGTAGGTGGTACTGGAAGAGTAAATTTTGGGGAAGTCGTACTGATAACGTCATTCACCCATGCCAGAATTGTCATCTTCCCACAGCTTTGCCAAAACTCCTCTGCTCCCATTGACTCGTGGTCCTTGCTTCCATCTTCCATCACAGAATGCTATCCAGTGAAAAAAATAAGGAAGTACAATGCTTGCAGCCTTTCAGGATTACCAGCAGCTACATCATGTTGTCGTACTTACTCCTTCTGTCCTATATTACCGAAATAGCGGCGTCTTGGATTTCTTTCTGAAGGGAATGAAATCTTGTTCTAAAGAAAACGAAGTTGTACGGACGGGATACAGAGTGAGCAAGGATCATGTACTGGTACTGTAGTAGTTCCTAGACTGCTGTGGAAATGACGGCGTCCTCCCAACAGACTCAGCAGTGGAGAAAACTCTCGTCTCTCAACTCTCTAAGTTCAGGTTTGGATTGACTCTTATTACCAGGTCGGCTGTTAAACTTAGAATGAGCGGACACTTGAAGCCTTCTCACCCAGATGAAGTAGTAGTAGAGTAAAGATGATGACATCAGTGATTCAGATAGGCATTGACCCTCCTCTCTGCACTGTGGGTAACTTTGTTGGGCGCACGTAGGACTGCTGAACAGCGCGAGCTATCCATCAATCTGACCATTAGCCACGCACCCATTTCCAGTTTCAGCAGTGTTCGACACTTTTCAGACCCAAGCCCTCTTTTCTTATTCCTGGTCCAAATAATGTAATATCTCAATGTGTTATGTGTGCTGCTGCTGTTGCTGCTGTTATTCGACCACCGCTCGAAAATCTGATGCTTGGCCACAAGGATCAGGTTACAAAGCGTCTTAAGATATTACGTATGACTCGTATTCAATCAGAGATCCGCTGAATCGAATCATGTTCCTTTGGGAGCCCGGCAAGGTTCCATGAATTTTTACCGAAGACTTTTCAAGTAATATGGTTTCAGGATCTCAAACCGGAGAATATACTGGTATCATCGCACAGTGTTGTGAAAATAGCTGATTTCGGTCAAGCTTGTCTATATTTTCCGGAGGAAGATCGAGAGTATGAAGAAAACGTGGGCCTTTTAGTTTTCTCTGACATTTTTCAAATTTTCTTCATTCTGAGGCTTAAAGACAAACCCCGTGATTGCATATTGGGGGGAGAGTGGCGTTCAGTTACAAGCCTGCAGTTGCTAAATGACTACTCAGAATGAAACTGGCAGAGGAACCGTGGGAAAAACCCCTAGTAGGAACCTAGCAATCTCTTTGGACGAGTTCTTTGAACCTGCTCGCTGCGTCATCCAACGCTAATAACGTACAACAATGCTTTTGGTGTTTCGGTGGGGGGGCCAACTAAGGTAGGCACCAGAACTTGCACTTTATGGAGGGCCCATCGTCATCCGTTGGCGGACTGTTTGAAGCCGCGAAAAAGGATAATCTTTCAGAGACTGAGGATGAGACTACTTGCATATAGCTACAGCATCCGGGGGACATGATTAGGGTGGCAAGGGTCGCGACGCGGCTGCGGCGTGTCACGAGCGCGGCGATCAGCTGTTTCCAGCCTATTTTAGCCATTTCCTCCCTAATTTTCACTATATTTTCTAATATTAACTTATTTCTGCCGAACAAGGTTGTTAGATAGAACCTTTTATTGGCCCGACGTTTCGACCTTCTCGTCTTCTTCAGAGGCCGAGGTTCCACCGTGCGGAGCTTAGCTCACGCTATGTGTCAAGTAAATGGAGTAAGACGAAGTTCCTTTGTGTAAGTAAGTTCGTCCTTACTTACATTACTGACACATAGCGTGAGCTAGGCTCCGCACGGTGGAACCTCGGCCTCTGAAGAAGACGAGAAGGTCGAAACGTCGGGCCAATAAAAGGTTCTATCTAACAACCTTGTTCGGCAGAAATAAGTTAATATTCGACATCATGCCAAGGTTACAAGAAGGGACAACTTGGAGATTATATTTTCTATTTTTCAGAGGCTAGTTGTTTCATTGTTATTATAAAGTGCATAAGAGCGTGGAGTCCTTTTTTCTGTTGTTTCGTTCTTTTTTTGGTGTCACAAGGAAGAAATGATTGTGAGCTGAAGAATGGTAACAAATAAAGCTCTGCAGTTTTGGCCGTTCCTTCCATTTCTTCTTTGCGGGGCACGTCGCACACATCATGTCCCCTTTTTGATTTCCACTACCAATTACTGGTAAACGCGGGATTGTCTTCTATCAAATCCCCTACTTCAACTTAATGACTGAATATATAGAAAGAAAGCTTTCTGAAGACTGCGGGTAATGGTTGAACGGCGGTTTATTCATCCAAATTCACTAAATGAAAAACAAACCGAATTTGTTTGCGTACGAAGAACGACGACGTTGAAAGGCTTGCGGATGAGTGATGTCAGTTGAAGGCAGTTGGCACGATAAATTGGTACTCCGCCTAAAATGCTAGCAGGGCGCTGTATAGTGGAAAAATTGCGAGAGAACGGAGTGAAACGATCAGAATCCTGCTAAGAAAAATCTTCTTGGTTCTCAATGACTCGAAAAACAATTGCGGGCGAGTTTCCCTTCTTCTATAATTTGAGAGCCGAGATAATGTATAAAAAGTTGTTGTCGAAAACTCACTTTTGTGTCAACCCAACACTTCATTTCAGTGAAGTGTTGGGTAAAGATCGACAGGAAAAAGAATCCTCTGCATTTTAAGGCAACTAGCCTGCCTTCAAGAGCAGAAAATTGTCTATTAAACAGTGTAGAACACATTGGGAACAGTTGCCATTTTCCATATAAAAATTTGTGTGAAAAAAAACGCCATTACTTATGGGCCAACCCAATAGCACTCTGCTAGCACTTCAGACCGAATACTAAGTTATCGTGCCATATGCCTTGAGCAATGCCATGGATGTAACATAGGAGGGGTAGTCTAATTGTAAGAAGAAACCAGGACGAAACCTCAAGGACCCCTCCCTCTGTTGAGGAACTCCCGGCGTTGGAAGTGCCCTGGTGAGCTGTCTGTCCCTGACCAGAGGACGGTATCAGCCTTTCACTGCAAGCCAGTCATTTGATAGCTTATCCATCTCTAAGGGTAACAATTGCTTCATTTACACCGATTGTATTCCCAATTCATCAGTTTTTGTTCCCATAGATCTGTATCTGTCCTCCCAGATTATTTGGTTGACGCAAATCAGTCTTGAAGGGTAACAATTGTTTGGTCTGTCCTTGTCACCCTCCATATTTCATCAGTTATCTCAGTAGGTTTTCACAAGCATTTATGCTTTCGTAAGGATGTTGAAAGCGCTTCCTTGATTGTTGTGGGTAGTTAGTTTAAAGGTGGATTTGTGAAAAGTAAGTCGACTCACTAGTGCAGAGAAGGCAAAACTGTCGAAAATGTTCCTGGTGAAGCCCAGTATTTTCCGCTCATTTAAAGATCCATGGTACGATCACACATAGTTTGGGTGTGCGTGACTATCAGCCCCCCAGCTGTCGAAGCGTAGCGGTTTCCCCGTAACATGCGCAGGAATGGAGATACAGGACCGTGAAACACGCTAATTCCTCCATGCTCCGCCCA